GTGTTCTGTTTATCTGTAGCTGTACCTTTATGTTGTTGTCTTTATGATTTGTGTGGAATGCTGCAATGTCTGTTAGTCTTTCCTTACTGTGCTGTTTCTTTTGTCTTTTTTATCAAATGTTTAGTGTGTAAGAGTTTTTGAAAAGTGCTTATGAATAAAATGTATTATTATTATTATTATTATTATTAGATATCAGAGAGACATTGGCGGATATGGAGCTCAGCGTAAGGGAAGGAAGACTGCTTATATTCTTTCACAAATTCATTCATTCTTTCACTTCAACTTAAACTACTTCCTCTGTCTACCTGCTCTGGTGATCAGCTGTTAATGGGTGTTTATTCTTTAAGTAATTAACCAACCAGAGTCGGGCACAACCTCTCTCAACCAATCATCCTGCTGCGACAAAATGCTAAAACAGTTCTCTCTCTTCCACAATCATTCTGTCATTTCAAGGCAACTGCTGCAACCCACCACCGCCCCAGTCACCTCCATTCCAGCTCAGCAGAGTCCAGATTCAGGCTCATTATAGCCTCCATTCCTCTTCACCACCACCAGTGTCTAGACTCCATAGGGGGGTATCCTATCCTGCTGTCGGCCTCATTACCCTTCCGAGTACATGAAGTCGTCACGATGGAGTTTAATCCTCCAAAGACTTTGCACATTCAAATCTAAATTGTCGCACATTTATTGTTAAATAAATAATTGTTCATTCTCAATTAAGTCTCTCCTGATTGAAATATCAGTCTCAGCTTTTTTTTCCTACCTAATATCAATATCACTACCCAACACTGGCTGTTACACACTGATGTCACTGCATTCACTTTATCTTATCATTTCTGTGTCCAGAGGCTGTCCGTAATGTGTGAAAAAAAATGAATGTCCTGTTAGTGCTGTCATTTTATATGATGCAACCCGAATACTGGATGTTGTCCTGTTTGTTGGGGTAATGTTGAATGTAAGTTGTAAGATATTGAGACACAGTCCCACGGTGATACTGATAAACTCAACTAAATAATTCATGGCAGGATTAGGAGAAGGCCGTTATTTTGTTTCCTCGAGGAACAGGAACACCTCTAATAGCATTCATCAACAATGTCCTCCTGTCTGGGTTTTCTCAGATTAAATTGAGTAGAAGTAAAAACCTGAGCTTGTTGATTTGTAAACGTGACTGAACAAGGACTATCTTTCAATGATAAAATCAAGCTGGTTAAAACATGTTGATGGAAACTGAGACCACGAACTTCCCCAGCAGTATTAGGACGCCTTTCTCAACCGCCAGAAGAGCGGAAACTATAAATTCAGAGATAAACATGTATCTGTTACCACTCTGTTGCATCATCACCTCTTCTTTCAACTACAGTTTGTTAGCGTTTGTTAACCCAGGAGACCTATTGCTGTCACTTTGAACGTGAAATGTTTTAACATTCTTGTGTGATTTAGGATATCAGCTCGTCAACACTTTTCTTCAATTTCAAAACATTGGACAGAGCTTTCTTCCCCCGCCCCCTCCCTCATAGAGCCAATGTTCAAACAGGTTGCTATGTCGTGGACACTGAAGCTTCAGTTTTTAACCAGCTCTGCATCGGTCTAGAGACTTTTCTGCTCTCTAACCTCTCTCCTTTTTTCAGAAGCAACCGCCCACCTTCTCTGCTCAAAATACAATGATTCTGCGCCACAATGGAAAACTAGAAGGAGGACATACCGACTGCTACATTTACAGATAAACCAGCACTTAAACAGATCATGTTTCCTTAATGTCTGATGATGTAGAAAGACCATTTCAAGATTTAATTCAGAAGATATCTTACATATTGGACCTTTAAACTATCCTCCTTAACCTCGTCTTTGATTCAGGGCCATTTAAACCCTGTCCTCTGGAACTGCCTCACAGGCTTTCTTTAATCTGATTGGAAAACAAGAGCATGCAATGAATGAATCAAAACTTTATTACAGACTCAGGGTCCAAATAATAAAATCCAAAAGACATAAAATACAATACAAGATACATGAAATACATAGCACAGTATAAAAACCTGCAACTTAAATGCAATGCATGGTATAAAATCACTAAAAAGATAAAAACAGCGCCCCAGAGGATACAACTGTACCAATGTTTCCATATCTTGGATTGATTCAATGTGCATCTCTTTTGATAAACCATTTACTTTTTCAATAAAAAATAAAAATCTTGATTAGCAGAGCTTCAATACAAACAAAAGTGAAAACCATCACCTCAAACTTATCCACAATTAATGATCAATATCTCTCCAGATTTGAACATCAGAGGCTTCATGGAGAAAATATTATGTGAAATTACTGAGAATGAATCATGTATTGCGCCAAACACCCTGCAGAATATTGAAATATCACATTCATATCTCAAAGTCGATATTTAAAGCAATGCAGGAAGAGCAGAGCGAGAGAGGGAGACAGAGAGAGAGTCTTCAAATAATCAGGTATGACGTTTGGCAATGACATCATAGTCTGGAGATCTGTTAGTGTGATCCAATGCCATGTAAGTGCTGTCCTCTTCTTTTGGCTTCATGCTCGCTCTTTGTTTCCTTTAGTAAAAGAAGAAATGAGGATTAAAAAAGGGTTTTACAAACAACTCATTTGTCATATCTTCATCAGCACAGTTTATTCCAAAAAGTCTTCCGGTGTAATAACATACCAAAGAAACACCATGCAGAGTGTGAGGACGATGTTCACAGTGAGAGACACTCCAGTAACAGCCCAGAAGAGAACTCCACCGTAGGGTCCACAGTGAAGACCTGTCATAAGAAATAACATGATAATATCATAACCCTGTTTGGGGGGGGGACACTTTTTCAACTTGATGGTTTTTACCACTAAAGTCTACTTCATTGTCAGTTTGACAGTGAAGGAAGTACCAAAGCTGTATCATATTTCCAAATCAAGACCGCAAAGCGAGCAAGAGAGACGAGTGTAGGCTGAGCAACCAAAAGACTAAAAGAAGAGGAATGGTTTCAGCAGGAACAACGCTGAGCCAGAAGAAATTCAATATTCATTTTTGATTGTTTCATGGTGGTTATGTTCAAAAGCACAATTTAAACACACTAAACCCACTGGCACATGAAGGAGTTGATTATGAAAGGGAAACTGAATGATTGATTGGCCCAAATTGGCACACATGGACATTTGGATGAAAAAGACAAATTAGTAATGTTTTATATACTAATTCAGAAAGTGCCAAAGATGGAAATCAATCTTGAAAACTGAAACATTAACAACATCTTATAATCAGTAAATCACTGCTCTGGAGGAATTATAGACCTTTAAAGGTTTAAAAACACACAGTTTAACTTGTATACATACGCTGAACATATAAGTCTTTGTTGTCAGATCGTCCACTCCCCAGTTCATTTTCAGCCTTGCAGAAAAAAGGACCGCTGACATCTGAAGCTTTGACAGTTAAAACACGTCCAGTCCCCATGAAAGTGTCCTGGCCTCCATCAGCTCTGTACCAGGTGTAGTCCTTTACAGCTGGGTTGGTACTGCTACTACAGGTCAGAGTCACAATGTTGTCTTGTCGTATTGGACCGGACAGACTGACCGACACTGTTGTTTTTTTGGGTGAATCTGGGAGGAAAAAAATAAACAGACTTGTTCTTTTGATAATTGAATTGTAAACTGTCACTTTCTTGCTGATTTGGAAGAAAAATCATGAAGAAAATTACTGACTCTGCTTCAGCAACATTTGAAGCCTTTGCTTTTCAGCATGTTTGCACTTACAAGAAAGGTTGCCATTAGTTTCATGTTTTCTGTACATTAAAGGGAATTATGTTAATCCTAAAATGCATCTTAATCAGAATTAGATATATGGCATGCAGATGTAGATGTTCCCTTTTGTCTTTTCTTCTCAGTCTCTGCTTTAGCTTGATTTCAAAGCAGCTTGAAGTTTATGCAATTAACAAGAATTGTGCCTGCAAAGGATATTTTGGATGAGGAAACACTTCAGAGAAATGAAGCAGAGCAAGTTAAAGGCTTGCTGTTGAAGCTTTGTGAGCAAGAAAATACAGAAGCATCTCACACTGAGGTGTTTGATTTATTAAATTGATGTCATGTCAACACTGATTAGAAAATCTAAAGAATTGGGTAAAGATTTACTTTCAAGGACTTATTGTTTCACACCTAATTTAATTTAGTCAAGATTTTAAGGAGATGAGAGAGCATTTAAAAGTTTAAGTTTGAATTCCTTAATCACAAGACAAACATACTCACATGTAATGTCAGCTGTTAAACTGGTGTTCACAGATGACTCAGTGCTGCCATCTTGTTTTCTGTAGACAGCAGTACAGGAGATTTCCTGTCCGTGATGGAGGTGTGATGCGTTGAAGTTCAGCACAGAGATCTTGACTTTAGTTTTGTCCTGATTCTCCTGCAGGGTCTCCTGACCTTCACCCAGGCCGGGGCTCCATGTCAGATTTGGAGGAAGAGACAGACAGGGAGCTGGAGCAGAGCAGTTCAAACTCACTGAGGTTCCCTCTTTCACCTTCAGTGTGGGCGGAGTCAGAGTCGGTCTGGGTGGATCATCTGTTCAGAAGATACATAAACATGTATAAGCAGTCATTTCTCTCTACTATCAAAGGTTTGATTTATCTTTATTTTAAAGTAATTAATAATAAGGTCAGAGAACTACTACATGACTGAACTGTAAAAAAGTTTAATTTGAAACCTACCTGTGACTGAAATTTTCACGCCATCAAAAAAGTATTTCAGATCATTGTCACATTCCAATCTAAAATTATGCACTTTGTTGTTTTGAGGTTGCATGTCATTCAGGGTTGTGGTGCAGTCTTTTTGTGTTAGGTCACCGATCAATTGTCCTTTCTGTTGTGGATTACTGCTATCAAACACATCAGGTCCAAAAGTACTTTCTCTCCATAATGCTTTACAAGTGTTATCTAAGTTGACATTATATTGATCCTCTACGTCAAAGGAGCAGGGGATTGTCACACAGGATCCCTTCAGAACCTCTA